AAACTTTACATATTTCAGACAACGCACATGCTCTCTTTGTGCGAGCCACGTACTTGGTGTGTCATCGCCTGATATCCTCGTGGAAGACCGACTTGAATGTTTCACTGGCGGCGCTGGAGCTACTGTCCGGTCTGGCTCGACTTCACATACGCGAAACAGGTATTGTATTAAGGACTCGCATGTGCCTCGCTATTCTTAATGTCCTCTCTGTGTAAATTTCTCTATTTTCCCTCTGTGGTTTCTCTCCTGTACAAATCTGACCTCCATTCGCATCCATTCTGAATTTTGTATGTTTATATTTTTGTGTGAAAATCAAAATCGCAGCCAGGAAATTAACGAATGGTAATCTTATCAAATGCTACTAACCACATACTCATCTTTCTTTTTCTTTTCTTTTTATGTGTTTCTTTGACACCACTAACACCTTTTGCACCTCTTTAACCCTCACTTGCTAATATGCGGTGCTAATTGTCGCTCCTTTTTTGTTTGTGCTTTAATTTCTTCCGGGCCACAATGTAAATAACTAAATCAAACCCATCCGAACTTACACATCCCAGATTCCTTAGTGAAAATAGTCGATCCTAGTCAAAATCTAACGATAATCTCCACAGACGCCCTAGAATGCAAGCGCGCAGTGAAGTGGATATGCGACTATATTTGCTATCAGTGCTCGCGACCTCCGCCAGCGCACAGCAAGGACCTGCACAGCACAATTGTTGCGGCGTTCCAGTGCACGGCAGCCTGGCTTATGCAGCATCCCTACTTGCTGCAGGACAAGGACTGCCTCCAGACTGTGCTCGAGGTGGTCGAACTTGGCATATCGGGCACCAAGAGTCAGAGCAAATCTGGAGATCTGCCCAAGTTTAAGGATGAAAAGGAATTAAAGCCAGCCTCGATGCGCGTTCGCGATGCAGCTGAAAATTTACTGACGATCATCCTGGAGCAAGTGGGCTACTTCCCTAGCGAGTGTGGACCCGAGTCAATATCGTCTCTCTTGGACGAACTGGCTCTCATGAAGCACTGCAATTCGTTACCGACCGGAGATGGTTCTGTGGGCGTTTGCACTGCAGAGCAAGCAATCTCAAAGTTTAAGTATTTTGTTACAGAAAATTCGACAATATTGGCTCTGCTGGAGGAGCCTCTAGGCAATGATCAGGATCCGCAGCCAACTGTCACCCGTAAGTAAAGAACGTCTGCAAATTTGTATTCTTTAAATTCTCATATCGTCGCCTTCCCACAGTTCTAATACGCGGTCCATTCGGTCGTCATGCGTGGACGATGCAGCTGCGCCATCTGCCGCGAAGCAAATCCGGTATTAAGTACCACGCCGTAAATCCCGGTAGGCCAATTGCAATGAATGACATCACCCAGCGTCCTGAATGCGAACAAAAGAACTTTCCCGAGGGCGTGGACAAAGTTCAGCCTTGTGTAGCTGATTACTCAATACCAACAATCGATCAAATACGGGAACAGTACGGCGCCAGCATCATTAACGATCTGGAGGCCATGCTTGAGAACCAGAGCATACACGAAAAGCTAGCTTGGGCTGAGTCGGACAATAATGTGGACAGTCTGTCACACGCCCAGGAGTGTGTGCCGCCTACGGTCTGCCACGAGTTTCATGCAGCTCGTCTGTTTCTCTCCCACTTCGGATTTCTTAGCTTTGAGATCCGCAACCCGAACAACCCCGTGGAGTCTCTGGCTCCACCCCAAAGGCCCCTCATTGTGCTGGACACAAAATCATCAGCGTTCGCAGCGGATTTAGACAAGTTGGATAAGCTTAGCGCTCGCACGCACGACACTGTTTATTGTTTCTACGTAAAGGTGAGGTCGATTGCGCCAGAAGCGTACTGTCCATAGCATTCTCATGAGTATTTTGCTTTTGTTGTTACTTTTTTGACGTTCGCGTGCAGGCGGGTCAAACGAGTGCACAGCAAATCATTGGCAACATGGCCGAGGACCAAGTATATGATCCGCACTTTGCCAACATGCTGCAAACTCTGGGCTGGCCTGTTCAGGTAGCTGAGCACTCGGGTTGGACGGGCTTTGCACACAACTCTTGGTCACTGAAGGGCACATCAGAGCGCTCCAACGTGTCCAGCGAGTCCAATTACAACGGTGCGCAACGCGTGCTTTACTGGGCGGACGTTTCCTCTGAGATAGCATTCGTTGTGCCCAATGCTTGGAATCTGCGCTACAATAACGAAATGGATGCCTGCAGTCTGTCCAGTAATTGCAGTGATCACAGCACAATGAGTAATGTCTGGATACGTGGAGAAGACGCTGGCTCTATGAAGTCGAAGCCAAGAAATCTCAGCCTGGAGTTGGATACAGGCAACAGAGGCAAGGAGCCTGTGCCACCCACGCGTCGAAAAGGTAATGTGTCGAAGCCTGCACTTCTTGTCCAGGCGCCAGCAAAGATATTCCTCGTGTGGCTAGAGAGCTTCGAGGATTACTTAAACTTCCCTGTCGAGGATCTATTGGCCTATGCGCGCACTGGTGAGGAGCTGCACTCGATGCAATTGCCGAGAGCAGCCGACTGTCACGTAATCTTCGTGCACTCTCTTCAATCTGGTTTGCTGAGAGTCAAATTACTGGGACCACCTGGCCGCATGAGCTTCGCCACGCCTTTAGTCGACGGAATGGTGCTTAGTCGGCGGGTTGTGGGTAATTTGGTTCGTCAAACGGCACTAAACATATCTCGGCGTAGGCGGTTAGATAATGATAAGTAAGTGTCCTAGCCTGCTCTATTCTCCAAGAGCTAATTATATGTATGTATTCGTTTCTCTGCAGCTATCAACCGCCTCATGTGCGACGTCGCCTAAAGGTGCAGGACATAGTCCAAAAGTATAAGATGGACCTAAGCGAAGCCGAGCTATTAGCTCATTTGTTCCAGCGTTCGATCTAGCCTTAAAGTATTTATTATTTGCCCTAAAATATTCCATCAGTTTCTTTTGTATTCAAACTTTTTTTAAAAGTCTAAATAAACTAACAAAGTTAGGACCTAAGAGCAACAACAACACTCGCCCGCTACTTGCATTCGAAATAGAAATTGTAATATCACACCTAGACTGGAGCAAGTATCGGCATTGCTGTAGCCGCAGCGCCCACATACTTAGCAGTTGCGATTAAAGCATTAACAGAAAGCGCGAATTCCGCACTGAAATAGCCCAACAACTACAACTCGCGCAGGCTAGCTGGCCGAGGCCAGCAGGCAACAGCTATTTTTATTGGTTTGTTTTTTTCGTTTTTCTTCTGTGCTGGCCACGCTTTTTGGGCCTCAATTGCAGCAACAGAGACAGAAACAGAAACAGAAAAAGCATCACATTACTTCACTGGCTAGCCTGGACTTTGCGTGTTATTGTAATATTTCTCAAAGATAAGAATGCGACCAGACCGGACTGCATGCTGGCCGCCTGCTCGCCCGCTGCATTTGAGCAGCTCAGTTTATAAACAAATAAGCTTGGCCGAAACTCTTGTAATGTGTTCCTTACCAAGTGACAGTTTTACAATATATGCCTAGTTGGCATGAATTTCCGTACATAAAACAAAAGATCTGGAAAAGAAACCAAAGCTACGACAAAAGACTTAGGCGACAAACTTCAAGTTTTCTGTATAATATAATAACACAATCAATTTGGAATTCCTACTAAGAAAAAAAAGGGCAAAGATCTCGATGGCTTTATACCCTAAAGCAACCTGATTTTATCTATGTAGTGTATAAGAGCGCTTCGGCTTCAAACGTCTCCATGCTCAAGCAGCGTCCCACTCATACACATTTGGTGCCTGGTATCCCGTGTCCATCACATGAATGCATGCAGGTATACGCATACATTAGTTCACGCCAATACAAAAGGGAAGTCTACGCAGGTCAAAATTCCTAAAAAAAAATAAAAATAAAGAAAAAAAAAACAAAAAAGAAATGAGAAAAAGAGGCAACAGCGGTAAAGTAAACGACAACTAACCATAAGAAAAATGACCAGCGATAATTTTAATTTGAAACCAGTTTCTATGCCAAACAAAAATTCTGCAGCGCAGCCGAACAGAGTCTTGAAACTGCACAGAACCAAGTAAGCAGAAGAAGTGGTTAACTAAACAAAAATTACCAATAAAAGAGAGAGAGAGAGAGAGAGACTGACTCCTCGCAGAGAGAGAACTAGAGCTTTGTCGAAGCAAAACAATTTCTTGTTTCTTAAGGTGCGAGAGTCGCGAGACACTGAGTCACATCACGGCCTCAGCAACATTCAGCGGCAAGTGGAGTGGGCAGCCGAGTAATTTTTAATCTTATTGTGTATGAGTCGCCGGTGGCTATTGAATCTTGTTGGGCTGGCTAGCTGGCCAGCTTGCTAGCTCGCCTGGTGCACACCAATGCGGGCCCGAGTCTCACAGATTGACAGAGTGGCCAGCACAGGCAGAGCAGTGGGGGCAAGTCCGAAAAATTCTGCTTCGTAGAGAAGAGGTAGAGGCGCACGCTCACCCATATATGAGCATTTCAGCAGGAAGGCGAAGAAAAGCCGAGCAGCGCGCCCAAGAGAGCTGTAGCTGGCAACGTTTTAGTACAAGAAAATGAAAAACGAAACTGCAACAAGTGAAAAATATGTTGCGGGCGACGGCGGCGGCTGCCTCTGCTAGATTGCTCTGTCTTTGCTGCTGCTGCTGCTGCGGCTGCGCATGCGCATGCAACAGGTAAAAGATTCAGCTAGCGACGTGCAGGCGGTACAACAGCAACAATGACAACAACAACAACAACAGACAAACAAGCTACCACATTTGGTACGTTTATGACGGCAGTGGGAGAGCCATGTTCATTCTCTCTCTCATTTTTCTGTCTCTCGCAGTCTCTGCATTTGGGTTTCTCCTTCTCCTTCTCAATCTCCAGCTCTCGAGCTAAACCTGCCAAGCGGCTTTTCGAAGCCTGGCTGCCGCTATGTTCATAATTTTTGTGCTGCCTGCGCGCTGCAAGTTCTTCTCGAGCAGCTCTCGACAGTCTACAGTCAGTTAGTTACGTTGCGACCACAGAGCGAGTGGCTGTTCGGTTTGGGAACGGGAACGTGTGCGCGTTAAACGATTGAAACGCTTGACAAAAGTGAAGGTGCGACGGATGCTCAGGTTTCGTTGGCCCATACATAAATACAGTTACCCATACTCAAGCCACGCGTATTTGTGTGCGTGCGTGCGCGCGTCTGTATCTGTGTGTGCAACACATTTCAATCGATGCGTTACAATTAGTTATTCTCGATCCATAGATCTATATGCGTCCAATAAAAATATAAATCTGATCCCCAGCAGTTGGTGAATTAAGTGTGGACACCACTGCGTATGGGCAGCTCGCTCTTTGCGCTGCTCCGTGCGAGTGAGTGAGTGTGTGTGTGTGTGCGTGCGTGTATGTGTTTGTTATCGTTGTATTTCTTATAAGTGAAAAATTCCAACAACGTTGCAGCCCGCACTGCAGCAAGAAATACAACAGCAGAAATGAGGCAAAACACGTTTTGCTGAAAGAAAAAATGCTTCTGCGCCTGCGTCTGTGGCCCCTGACGATGTTGCATTTGTGTTTTTTTATGTGCGCGTGTCGTATTTACACTATATGTATACCAGATCAACCAACACCAACAGCAAGGCTATCACAAAACTCTAACTAAAAATGTGAACAAAAAATGGTAGGTATTTCGAATCTAACGAGACTCAACATGTACACACTTAAGCTTATATACGAGGGGTATATAAACAGATATATTAATAAGCTTTCAAGCACTGAATTTCAATTTTGAATGGCAATAATCGTCTACAAGGAGAGAATAGCCGTCTAAAAAATACATATATACCGCAGGTAAATGCGGTAAATACGGCGAGGTAGAAAGCAAACTCCGGGAAAAAAGCTATCGTGAATAGACGGCAAAGCGAACTTGAAATCGACGCAAAGAAACTCAAACAAGATTAATTGTTGAATTTTTATAAATCAACGGTAACGTAGGTAGTTTTTATTGTTGTTGTTATTGTTAAGGTTGACGTCTTTTGTTGTCGGAGGCTGGCACAGTGATTTGTGTGGAGCTTGAACACCAGCGCTCGTAGCTGTCACGTAATAGCCTGAAAAATGTTGAAGAAAACAGAAAACACACAAATGCCTTTCCTATAACAAAAATAAGTAATATTTTTTTCTTCTGTTGTATTTGGTTTTTCATTTCTTTTTTGTACAAAAACGAAATTATTTATGGCAGGTATCGGCGGCTCTCGAGCATTGCTCGACGACCGAAGTGTAAATGAATATGGAAATATGAAAAACAAGTTTTCTTTCAGAAGAGGCTAGGCCAGGCTAAGCATGGCAATAAAGTGAAAAGCACAAATAAAGAAAAGTCATAAAAATAAAGATCATACTTCAATGTGTGTATGTATGTGTGTGTGCGAGCCTATCTGTGAGACTGTGTGCTTGTGTGGGTATCTTGTATCTTGTAGGCGCCTGAGAGCAACGCTCATTGATTCCAGTCGGCTATCGATTATTATTCTTTACGAATTTCAAAGCTTGGCCATATGGCTCGCGGGCAGGCAGAGGCTGGCTGTTAGCCACGTTCTGGGTCTATGCTTGGCTCTTTTGTTAAAATTTGCATTGCAAATGTTTGGCTGAAACTTGTACAGATATGGTATTTATGAGCTCTTAAAAACAGCCAGCATAACTATATATGTTAAGATATAGTTAACTATCAAAAGGATGAAAATATATTTGGGTACTTTTCCCCATTCTTACATAAGCTAGAAAGTGCATTGAACTGCTTTCTTAACAACATGAATAAATTAATACAAATATATATTCACAATATTAAAATATTTACTCAATTGTGCTCAACTTTCCAATATCTGGCAATTATTTTGAAATTTAGTGAATCTGATTTTAAATTTAATTCTCTGCCCCTTAAGTGACAAAATTGGCATAAAACTTGATAATATTTAAATAACTTACGGCCAACAGTCACGTAACTAATGTCAGCTGTATTCACAGACAAAAGGCGTATATTGGTATTTGTATATATGTATATATATTCATATGTATACATTGTATATGGCTGCTCGTATATTATTTAAATCACCAAGAATAGAGAAGAAGGAAAAAAATAAAAATAAAAGACAGTAAGAGCGACAAAAACAGACACACAATACTATTATAATGGGTAGATTTTAAAGATTAATGATCGGGTTCGACTCGAAAGCTTCAGACAACTGCCACAAATCAGGGAAAGGAATTTACGAATTCCAGGGCATATATGTATGTAGGAAGACAATTTGAAACAAATATGACCATTTCGTGCTGGTAATATGTCTAATCCCGCATAAATAAACAAGAACACTAAGAACTGAGTTGGATGCTTGTTTAGATCAATCAACCTTTCGATTGTGTCTCTCTCTCTGCTTAAAGGCTAGCTAACTAGCGCTAACTAAGTTTGATTAAGTGTCGAGATTTAGATTAAAGTATAAATTCGACAGTCATCTATATTTCCAAATTGTCTCATATGATACTAGTTGGTTAATCTGTCATATATACGTATATTAATTTAATTAATTAATTATTATTATTTAATTATTCGCATATATTCCCACAAAAATTTGTAAATAATGAATGAATAAAGAATGCTTCGCAATACGCTACCTTCTCATATGGTACCCTGTCATGCTATGATTTCCCCCCCTTTCTCCGTCAACTAGCAAAAGCAAAGAGGCTTTACATGCTTGACGAAGTATGAAAGTGTTGATATGCTCAGTGCTTGTGCAGGCACGAAATCTTGGAACGAACTGCAAGTAGTAAGGCATATTATATAATTAATAACGATTTAGTCGACATAACACCTTCCAATATAATTTAAAATTCGTATAACGACAAAATTAAGAGGATAATATATGGCGAATTCTAGATTGAAATGCTCTGTTGATTATGGCGGTGTCAATATCTAAGCTAGTTTTTAGGTTGCCCAACAGATTTCTGATTGTAATCTTGTATTCTTCTCTCTCTTTCAGGTTATTATTAGAATCCAAAACTAATTGGAAAATGACGTTCTTTGAGATTTGCGTGAATAGCCAACCAGTAAAAACACAAAAGCAACTCGCTAATGAAAACAGTAAAAAGTGAATATACATCTTAATGAATGAAAATCTGCGAATACCACAGAGCCTTCTAAGGCTTATAGAGAAGATGCGTTCCCTTCTCACAATCCACGGCAAACGAAGAGGGAAACTACTTCAGCTGATCGTCCTAACCACTTTTCTATTAGTCCAAGTGTTAGAGGTTAGGTCTACCGCACAGCAATCCGCGTCGCCTCGTGGACGCAGCTATGCCACAACATATGAACAGTATGCCGCATTTCCCAGGCGGCGCAGCTCCTCGCCAGCTGGTGAAATGCAATCCCGTGCCGTCGATACCAGCGCTGATTTTGAAGTGCTGGAGGGTCAGCCGCGCGGCACACTGGTTGGTTTTATCCCAACCAAGCCGAAGTTCACGTATCGATTCAATGAGCCGCCGAGAGAGTTTACGCTGGACCAGATAACGGGTGAGGTGAAGACAAATGTTGTGCTAGATCGCGAGGGAATGCGCAGCCATTACGACCTCGTGGTGCTTTCCTCGCAGCCCACCTACCCAATAGAAGTTCGCATTAAAGTTCTGGATATCAACGATAATTCGCCAGAGTTTCCAGAGCCAAGTATCGCGGTTTCCTTCTCGGAGAGTGCAGTGAGCGGAACCCGCCTGCTGCTCGATGCGGCTACAGATGCTGACATTGGTGATAACGGCGTAACGGATCATTACGAGATCGTAGCTGGCAACGTGGATAATAAATTTCGCTTGGTGACCACAACGAATCCCAGCGGAGATACATCCTACTTGCATTTGGAAACGACGGGCAACCTGGATAGAGAGTCCCGCGGTAGCTACCAACTAAATATATCAGCCAGCGATGGTGGCACACCTCCCCGACTGGGTTTCCTTCAGGTCAATGTCACGATATTGGATGTGAACGACAATCCGCCGATTTTCGATCACAGTGACTATAGTGTGACGCTGAACGAAACTGTTTTGCCCGGCTCGCCGGTTCTCCAAGTAATGGCTTCCGACAACGATTTGGGCGACAATAGCAAGCTCACTTATTACCTATCCGAGACGGAAACTCAATTCACTGTTGATCCTGAAACAGGAGTAATTTCTACCACCGAGCGCCTGAACTGTCCACAACAAACGAGTGAACAGACTCGAGAGCCCGCTGGTAAGGGCCACGCACAAAAGAGCTGTGTGTTTACCGTCTTTGCGCGCGATCATGGCTCTCCGCGACAGGATGGGCGCACCTACGTTACAGTCAATCTGTTGGACACCAACGATCATGATCCCATCATACGGTTTCAGTACTTTCCACCCACTGGGAGCGCAGCCACCGTTGATGAAAATGCGGTTAACGGCACGGTTGTCGCTGCCGTATCGGTGATCGACTCGGACGACGGCCCAAATGGGGAGACATCTACTCGCATCGTATCTGGCAATGAACTAAATCATTTTCGACTAGAAAAGACTCCACTCTTTCATATAGTACGCGTAAATGGAATACTCGACCGCGAGGAGATCAGCAAATACAATTTGACTGTTGTGGCCACAGACAAAGGAACGCCAGAACGAAAATCCATAGCCCACCTTATTATCAATGTAAACGACGTTAACGATCATGAGCCTGTATTCGAGAAGTCCGAATACTCCGCTGTGCTGAGTGAACTCGCGCCAACGGGTACCTTTGTTGCCTCGATCGCTGCCACAGACGAAGATACGGGCGTCAATGCGCAAGTGTACTATGAGATTCTTACGGGCAATGAACTTAAGTGGTTCAACATCGACACGACAACCGGCCTTGTGGTGACGGCCGGTCCATTGGATCGGGAAGTGCAAGCTAGCGTGGAATTGAGTATATCCGCACGTGACGGCGGCCCCAATCCCAAATTCGCGTACACCCAGCTTAAGGTCACCATCCTGGATGAAAACGATGAGGCCCCACACTTCGGACAACAGCAGCTCAATGTTAGTCTCAGTGAGGACGTTGCTCCGCCAACGCTGGTTGCTTTGCTATCTGCTACGGACAATGACCAAGGCACGAACGGATCGGTTACATTTTCTCTAGCGCCCAGTGTTGAACGGCTGTACCCGCAACAATTTGCTATTGACTCCATAACAGGCCAATTAATGACGCGCAGAGCCCTCGATCGTGAGACAATGGCGAATTATGAAATTTTTGTGATCGCGCGCGATCAAGGCGCACCGGCACCTCAGTCGGCCACAGCTACTGTTTACCTCAACGTTTTAGATATCAACGATAATAATCCAGAGTTCTATCCGAAGCACTACATCTCCACAGTAAAGGACCAAGACACTGGTGTCGCACACAAGAACAGCATGCGAGTTCTACTCAATGTCACGGCGACTGATCGCGATGACGGAGATAATGCCTTAATTACATACAACTTGGAATCTGGCGGCGAGAATGTATTCCAAGTTGACTCTCGCACAGGCGCCATCACGTTTACGGCGAGTGGCGAAATGAAAAAGGCTTACTACAACATGCGCATCTCTGCTCGGGACTCTGGTGAGCGGCGCACCACACAGGATGCTATTGTGGAGATCATATTAGAATCGAAGTCGGAGGCACTCGACTTTGGTGCACCCAATGGCTACGAATTCCAAGTCACTGAGGATCCTGATCACAAGATGCCTAAATTAAATCGTGAGGTGGGACGAGTGCAGGTGAAGAGGCAGCCTGTGTTTGCGGATGCAGCCATTGAGTATTTCATTATCTACGGCGATAGAGCTGAAAACTTTGCAATCGATCAGCGCACTGGTCGCATTACAACAGCCCGCCATATTGATCGAGAGGCGCAAGCACAATATCAGCTAACCGTGCTGGCACGCAGCATAAATGGCTCCAGTTCCATGTCTCGATTCGCATACGGTCAGTGCAAAGTCCACATTACGATTCTTGATCTAAACGATAATGCGCCCAGTTTCGCCCAGGACACGGAGGTTTCTATTTGGCTTCCAGAGGACACCGCTGTGGGCCAAGAGATCTATTTGTCTCGTGCCCGTGACCGTGATGCCGGAGTTAATAGTCGTCTGCGCTACAACTTTACATACAACACAGACCAACAGTTCCGAATAAACTCTGCTACGGGTGTAGTCTACTTGCAGAAGCCAATACGCGCCGAGCCCGAGACCGTGTTCTATGTCGAGATAATGGCCACTGATGGCGGCAACCCACCATTGAGCAGCCGGCTAAGTTTGCCCGTACATATTGCCGACGTAAACGATCACACTCCCGTGTTTGATCATACTTCCTACGAAACCTCACTCTTAGAGGCTACCAAGGTGAATACGCGCTTCTTTGCACTAGCTGCCTCGGACAGCGATCTGGGAGCCAATGGGCGTATTTCATATGAGATTATAGATGGCAATGCTGATCGTAAATTTGGAGTATTTCCCGATGGCTTCCTATTTGTTCGTGCTCCCCTCGATCGCGAGGAACGAGATTATTATGCACTTACAGTTTCCTGTAGCGATGCAGGTGTGCCATCGCGTTCGTCGGTGGTGCCGATTGTCATTCATGTCATAGATGAAAACGACAATCCACCGCAATTCACGAATAGTACATTTACATTTAATATACCAGAGAACGCACCACCAGATACGTTTGTCGGCAAGTTGACTGCGGTGGATCGGGACATTGGCCGCAATGCAGAACTAAGCTTTAGTGTGCTCTCACAGTCGCAGGACTTTAAGATCGATATGCACAATGGTTTCATCAAGACTCTGAGGCCGTTCGACAGAGAGGCCCTAGTGCGTAGCACTCGAGGACCTGATAATAGCGAGAGCCTAAACGACGATGATCGGAATATCAGTAGCGGCGGAGACAACTATATATTGCTGGAGGCAGTGGTGACAGACAATGGAAATCCGCCACTAAGCGACAAGGTTAAGGTCAAGGTGATTGTCACGGATGTCAACGACAATGCTCCAGAGTTCTTACGTGCACCCTATCAAGTGACTATTTCTGAAGGAGCGCCGGAGGGTACGCACATAATGCACGTTTTCACACAGGATGCCGATGAGGGCCTTAATGGGGATGTGTATTATTCATTAGCTGCAGGAAATGAGGCTAACTTATTTAGCTTGGATAGCGCTACAGGTCTCTTGACCCTTGCACATAGACTGGATCGAGAGTCACAGGAGATTCATCGTCTAGTCGTTGTTGCGAAGGATGCAGCATTAAAAAATCCATTAAGTTCCACAGCAAATATTACTATCACAGTCTTGGACGACAACGACAATGCGCCTGAGTTCACACAGTCGAGTAGTGAAATTTCCGTATTAGAGACAAGTCCCAGTGGAACTGAGCTGATGCGATTTCGAGCCAGCGATGCGGATCAGGGTGTGAACAGCCAAGTTGTGTTCAGTATTACGGCAGGCAACCGAAGGGATACGTTCCACATAGACAGTATTAGCGGCAGCCTTTACTTACACAAATCTTTGGACTATGAGGATATTACCAGTTACACCCTTAACATAACTGCTTCCGACTGCGGCACTCCACCTCTTTCTACCACAGTTTTCTACAACGTTATAGTTGTAGATGACAATGATAATCCTCCAATATTTCCGAGCACTGCGATTGTGAGACAGATTAAAGAGGGCATAGCACTGAAAACACCAATTGTGACTGTGACTGCAGATGACCCTGATTCGGGCTTAAATGGAAAGGTAACTTACGTTATCACTAAACAAGAGCCGGAAATGTCTGGAGGTCGACATTTTGGAATCAATACCCAAACAGGTGTCATATACACCCTGCGTGAGATTGATCGAGAGTCGATTGATAATTTCCGGTTGACTGTCGTGGCTACGGATCAAGCTCAGCCGTCGGAGCGCCAGTTGTCCACAGAGAAGCTGGTCACGGTCATTGTGGAAGACATCAACGACAATGCACCCATCTTCGTCTCGATGAATGCTGCAATTTTGCCAGTTTTGGGAAATGGATTAATTCCGCCAGGAAGCATTGGCGGTCATGTGATGCAGGTACTGGCTCGTGATGCTGACTCATCAAGTAACGGCCTGGTCACATATGAGTTTGTTGGTGGACAGCAAGAGCTATTCCATTTGCAACGAAATACGGGCATAATCACACTTGGTCAGGCTAGCCAACTACAAAAGAAGCCCAATGTGCGCTACCAATTGACCCTGAGGGCAACGGACGAGGCCAGCGGAGAGAGGAAGAGCACTGAGACTTATATTACAATTATTACGCTAGGCACAAGCGAGGACGAGGGCGATCGGCCTGTTTTCGAGAATTCTGACTCGCTCTTTGGTTCAGTTTACGAGAATGAGCCAATTGGAACGAGCATACTAACGGTAAGAGCTCACCTTGAGGGCGCTGAGATTGAGTACTTTGTGACAAATGTCACGGCGTCCAAAACAAATGCATTCGGCCACGCGAGCAGCAGTGTGCAAGTTGACCGTCTGTTTGACATCGATGCAAAACTGGGAATATTATCAACAGCGGTGGAACTGGACCGGGAAGCTGGCCCCCCCACTTACGAGATAGAGGTCCACGCCATCGCCCTGGGCGGAAAGCCACGGACAGCACACACAAAGGTAAGACATGCCATTGGCATGATGCTGCAGCCAGACACTGAGCACGATCATGTGATAGATAGCGGGACGCTGCCTTTATAATATCGCAAGTAACCCTACTTTGGTCGTCTGTTGGGTCCGACATTACTGGGCCTGTTTTAAGGGCTTATCAGCATGAGTTAAGGCCGCACTAATGCGCTTTTAATGTCTACTGCAGATATGAAAAGTAGATTATACGAAGAGCAGGGAGTTGTAAGGCAGCGTAAGCGGATGACTGAAAATGCAAATCGACAGAAGATGCAACAGAGTGACTTTAAATTAAATTTATAAGACCTTGCGATGGTCCAGCGAGAAACTTTAGAGCTCGTCATACTTGTTTCTAGAACAGAAAGGCTTTGAAAAAGTGTATAAATAGGCCGCAGGCTTAAAATTATAATGCATAACTTGTGACATTGGCAGTTGCCTTCAATTGTAGTCCACGCCATCCACCATTCAATGAAGGTGTTTCGAATCAGTCTAGTCCCTACTTTTCATTCGCTGTGTCGGCTGCGCATGCCGCAGTCTGGTTTTCAGCAAGACACAAAGTTTTCGACCTGTTTTTGAACGGCAAACAAAAAATACACGAATTCACAACAGTAAACATCTTTGCGGCTGCTGAGCAGCGCACACTGGCATGCCGCGGCGTCGGCCCTTCAGCCGAACTTTTTGGCACTTAACCAGGCGGCAGCAGCCATTGGTGTTGTCCAGCGTTGCCTCTGCATGCCTTTGCAGATATGTATGCTTTATGCTATATGCGTAGGTATGCCAGCAATGTACGCATGCAAATGTGTATGCGAATACGAATACGAGTAGTTCCAGTTCTGTCCAGCTTCTTCTGCGCAGACATACATGCATATGTATACCACTACATATACACACACATATACTTGGGTATGTTTAAGCAAACGAAGCGGAGAGCAGAGCATATATGACTCTGCTGCAGCGACTGAGACTTGCGTGCTAAAAGTGTTTCAATCAATTTTATTGATACTTTGATTTAAAACGATTGCCATGTTTTTTTCGGGATGTGCGTTTATTTAAAAAAAAAACATTTACTGCATCTGGAGTACTGAAGCAAAGCTGAGATTCAACGAGAAGAAGCGTAGGGATTGTTAAACTAAAAGATTTTAGTCGAATGTAACGAAACACCTATGCAACAAATGATTCTCTTCTACGTAGTTATACCAGAATATTGTCAATAGAACTCTCATTGTCTCATCTGTTAATCAAAATCTTTGCTAATTGCCACTGTTTGCAGGTGCAAGTAACTGTGCTGGATAAAAATGATAGTCCGCCAAAAGTGCTCGATACGCCATTGATTTACACCGTAAGCGAAGATCTGGAGATCGGGCACACTATAGCTACGATTCGTGCGACTGACCCCGACCCCGATATTATGAGCACTATAGTTTTTACTCTGCTAAACGGACATGATTCAAAATTTATTCTGGAGCCAACGTCCGGCAAGCTGCAATTGAAGGATACTCTAGATCGTGAGACAAAGGACGTTTACAACATGAGGATTCGAGTGAGTGATGGAGTGCAGTACACAGAAACTGATGTAATCGTACAGGTAAGGAGTTCAGTTCGGCCCTATTGATCATCAGTATCCATTGATTATAATTCATTATTGGTTATTTTGTGTTTTTAGGTGGACGATACAAACGATAATCCACCGATTTTCGAAGAAACTGTTTACTCATTTGATATACCAGAAAATGCACCACGTGGCTATCACGTTGGCGAAATAGTGGCCAAGGATGCAGACTTGGCTCAGAATGCGCAAGTTTCATATGCTGTTGTTTCTGATTGGGCCAACGACGTATTCAGCCTAAATCCTCAAACAGGAGCGCTTACTCTCACTGCTAAATTGGATTACGAGGAGGTTAGACAATCACATCCCTGTTATGTAGTCTCTTCCATCTAACGCTCTAATAATATTTTTTGCAAATCAGGTGCAGCATTATATATTAATTGTGCAAGCTCAAGACAATGGACAGCCCTCTCTATCAACTACTATAACTGTATATTGCAATGTGCTCGACCTTAACGATAATACGCCCCTCTTTGATCCCATGAGCTATTCAAGTGAAATATTTGAAAATGTGCCCATAGGAATGGAGGTGGTAACCGTGTCCGCCAAAGATATTGACTCGGGTAAGTGATGTGAGTTCATTTATTAGAATTCGAAAAATGATTCTCGTTTGTTTTATTTCAGGTAAAAACGGCCTTATCGAATTCAGCATTACAGCTGGAGATGATAACAATGACTTTGAGATCCATAACAACGGAACGATATCCACTCGTCGACAGCTTGATCGCGAGCAGCGTAGTGGATACACTTTAACAGTTACCGCCCGCGACTGCGCTGATGAAATGGCGATATTTAGTGACCTGAAGGAGTCGCAGTTAAAACTCAAGTATCGCTCGCCGCGCCGTTATTATAAGACACATCATCAAAATCAATTTTTATCTCAACAAAAGCAAGAGCGGCTATCATCGACTGTGCAGGTATGATATTAAACTAGCTTACGTTGTAGAGTTTGACTAATGGCGTCTGATCTATGACATGTCTGATTACAATTTGTACCTGAACAAGCCCTAATTAAACGAAAACCCGTTTTAGTCAAACCTGTTTTAAATAGATCATCGACCATTTCACTGCCGAAAACAAGTGACACAAATACTTGAGCGTCGTTAAGAACTTTTCTTTTCTTTTATCTTACAGGTAACGATAGTCGTCAAAGACGTCAACGATGAATCGCCCATGTTCGTTTCCGCAAACGAAACGTCGGTAATGGAGAATGTAGCTATCAATACGGTTGTCTTCACGGTGAAGGCCATTGACAATGACGAGGGCCGCAATGGCTACATAGACTACTATATAGACGACCCGCGTACATTTGGTGAAGACAATGAGGTCGTTGAACCTCTGCCATTTACTTTAAACCCGACCGATGGAATTTTACGCGTCGCCGATACGCTCGATCGAGAACTTCGGGTGAACTATGTATTGAATATAACAGCGCGGGATCGAGGAGACCCACCACTTGCCACACAATCTCAGCTCACTATTAAAATACTCGATGAGAATGATAATGTTCCGGTATTCGATCCCAAGCAATACTCAGCATCCGTGGCAGAAAATGCTAGTATTGGCGCGATGGTTCTTCAAGTGTCTGCCACAGATATGGACGAGGGTGACAACGGGCGTGTGCGGTATTCGATTGTATCTGGAGACCAGAATCGGGATTTCAGCATTAGCGAAGACACAGGCATGGTACGTGTCGCCAAAAATTTAAATTACGAACGCAAGGCCCGATATACGCTGACAGTACGAGCCGAAGACTGTGCTCCAGGAGAAAGTGCAAGCGATACCGCCGAGCTGATCATTAGCATCATTGACATTAATGACAACCGCCCCACCTTTCTGGACTCTCCTTACATAACGCGCGTTATGGAAAATACGCTGCCCCCAAATGATGGCTACTTGCTCACTGTAAAAGCTTACGATGCTGATACTCCGCCTTTGAACTCGCAAGTAAGATACTTCCTCAAGGAGGGTAATGCAACAAAAGACCTGTTTCGAATCAATGCTTCAACGGGCGAGATTGTCTTACTAACACCTCTAGATCGTGAGCAGCAGAGCGAGTACATTTTAACACTTGTCGCAATGGACACTGGTTCGCCCCCACTGTCTAATACTGGAGTTGTGAGAGTTGAAGTACAGGACATCAACGATAATGGACCTGTTTTTGAGCTTCAGTACTACCATGCCACAGTTCAAGAAAATCTTCCGATTGGATCTTTGGTGCTCAGGCCCGTGGCCACCGATAAGGATGTCGGTCTAAATGCTAAGATACGATTTAATTTGTTGGGAGAGCACATGAATCATTTCCACATTGACACGGATACGGGTGAAATTTCCACGGCCGCCGTATTGGACCGAGAGAGTATCGGCGTCTATCAGCTAACACTTATGGCTCAGGACAGTTCTATAACCGAGCCCCGAGCGACTTCGGTGAATTTAACGATAACAGTAGGGGATACCAACGATAATGTGCCCAAGTTTGAGGCAAACACATTCAATATTGTTGTGCCAAACAACATCCGAGCTGGAGAGTTTGTATTTGGAGCACGAGCTTCAGACTTGGATGAGGGAATCAATGCAATGATTCTTTACAACATAAGTGGAAAAGATCAGCACTATTTTGAAATTCATGCATCCACGGGAGTAATACGTGTGAAATCGGAACTGATGCAGAAAAACAAACCAAATGCTGATGTCATTTTCAATATAAACATCCACGCCACGGACCTCGGACTTATGCCTCAAGTGTCAACAGCAGAACTCACGGTGCAACTTCGACCGGTAGAGTTGTTTCCCGTATTCTCATACATGCCCATCACCCAATTTACTTTGCAAGAAGATGTGCAACCTGGCAAAATGATTGCCAAATTGTCGGCCTCATCGCCCAAAAAGGGATCTATTGCCAACATAAAGTACAAAATAGCCGGTGGTAATATGGGAAATGCGGCTGTTGTTGACCCAAACAGTGGCGTTTTGAGCGTCGGACCAGATGGATTGGATTATGAGCTGACTCATCAATATGAAATCTGGGTCGCAGCTGCTGACTCTGATAGACCCAGTCTTCGCACAGTAACGCTGCTGCACATTAACGTTACTGATGCTAATGATAATCCTCCGGTCATGGAGAAGCTGATATACAACGCAGAAGTCTTAGAAGAAGAATCTCCGCCGCAATTCATTGTTGCTATCAAAGCAATAGATAAAGATTCTGGAGACAACGGCGAAGTCAGCTATTTGTTGAAAAATGACTACAATGGCATTTTCGAAATCAACAGCTCTGGCGAAATATATACGACCATGCAACTAGACCGCGAAGAGATGAGCGACTATGCGCTTGTTGTGGAAGCCGTCGATCAGGGGGTACCGCAACTAACAGGAACTGCAAGTGTGCTGCTCCATCTACTAGATAAGAACGACAATCCACCAAAGTTCACCCGTCTATACTCGTTGAATGTAACAGAAAATGCTGAAATCGGCACGTTTGTTATATGTGTGACATCCTCCGATTTGGATTTGGGTGAAAACGCGAACGCTACGTATACATTCAGCGCGAACCCTGGTAATAAGTTCAAGCTCGATTCCCAAAGTGGTAATATCACAGTCGCAGGTGAAATCGATCGGGAGCAACAGGATGAATACATTTTGAAGGTGATAGCCTCAGATGGAGCATGGAGAGCAGAGACACCTGTCACAATAACCATACAGGACCAAAACGACAATGCACCGGAGTTCGAGCACAGTTTCTACAGCTTCAATTTCCCAGAGCTTCAGCATGCCGTTGCCTTTGTTGGCCAAGTCATAGCAACTGATCGTGATAAGCAGGGCCCCAACTCTGTCATCTCGTACTCGTTACAGTCACCTTCCCCCATATTTAGTGTCGATCCAGCCACGGGCGAAATCTTCACGAAAACGCAAATCCAATATAAGCACTCACAGTACGTCAGCTCTCCAGAGAACATGTTCTCACTTACCATCCTGGCCACAGACAACGGAAAGCCGCCTCTCTATACTGAATGTCTAGTCAATATCAACATAGTGGATGCGAACAACAATCCGCCGAAATTTGCACAGGCAGAATACCTCTCGCCGTTACCGGAAAATGCGAGAGTAGGTCAACGCGTTGTCAAAGTACATGCTAATGATGACTACGATGTAGGAGTCAACGCGGAAATCGACTACGCACTCGTTAGCTCAAATTTAAGTGCGTACTTTTCACTTAACAAGCACGATGGTTGGCTAACTTTGATGAAACCTATCGAAATGCCGGCTAATTCTCGATTTGAGCTTATTGTCAAGGCTACAGATCGAGGAGTTCCGCCACAATCAGACCAAGCTCGAGTCATAGTTGTCGTCACGGATGAAAATCGACACGCTCCCGAATTCAAGCCACTCAGTTATCAAGTGATTGTGCCAGAGAATGAACCTATCGGCTCCACTATACTAACAGTATCTGCGACGGACAAAGACAACGGACCCAACGGAATGCTGCACTATAACATTGTGGATGGCAATGAAAGCGAAAATTTTAATGTCAATAAGCATACAGGTGCCATCACAATAATGCATCCGCTAGACTACGACCAAATGCAGGAATACCACTTGAACATATCGGTCACTGATTTGGGCTATAAGCCCCTCTCTGCCGTAGCTATGGTCACAATTATACTCACTGATGTCAACGACAATCCCCCGCTGTTTAATCAATCGGAATATCATGGATACATAGCAGAAAATAAGCCAGCAGGAACTATTGTATTTCAAGCCCATGCAACCGATAAGGACTCCGCAAAAAATGCCATCATCCACTACTCATTCCTGTCTACCGGCACCGACCATCACTTTTTTACGATCAACGTCAGCAATGGTACAATATTATCTGCCGCGAGCTTTGACTATGAGGAGCGACGAAGTTACAAGTTGCATATTAAAGCCAAGAATCCAGACTCGATAATGGAAAGTTACGCAATTCTGCACGTTCACATTTTGGGAGTTAATGAGTTTTATCCGCAATTCGTGCAACCGGTTTTCCACTTCGATGTCTCGGAAACCTCAGCTGTCGGCACTGCAGTGGGTTCTGTGCAGGCAACCGATAAAGACATTGGCGAAGATGGTCGAATCTATTATTTGTTGGTTGGCTCGAGTAATGATAGAGGCTTTGGTATCAACACAAATACCGGTTTGCTGCATGTAACTCGAAGCTTGGATCGCGAGACCCAGAATCGAGTTGTGCTTAATGTAATGGCCAAAAATTACGGAAGCATACGAGGAAACGATACGGATGAGGCACAGGTCATAATATCTATTCAAGATGGAAATGATCCGCCAGAGTTTGTTGACCGCTTCTACACTTCAACGATATCGGAGTCCGCTCCAGTTGGTTCTGTAGTAACAACTGTGAAGGCAATAGATAAAGATGTTCGCCCACAGAACAATCACTTCACGTACTCCATTATTAATGGGAACTTAAAGCAAAGCTTCAAGATAGACGCTGAAAACGGTGAAATTACCACTGCTGCACTGTTAGATCGAGAGGATATTGCGCACTATAATCTAGTTATAGGTGCGATAGACACGGGGCTGCCACCGCAGACGGGCACAGCTACAGTCCGCATTAGCCTGGATGACATCAACGACAATGGACCGACCTTTACCTCGGAGGGTCTTATTGGCTACATTCCAGAGAATGAGCCAGCGGGGACATCAATAATGACATTATCAGCAACTGATCCGGATTTGCCAGAAAACGGCCCCCCTTTTAGCTATAAGATCGTGGGAGGCAGGCACAAATCTTGGTTAACCGTTGATAAGTACACCGGTTTGGTAAAGTCTACTGCCAGCTTCGATCGTGAGGCAACACCTCTACTGGAAGCCATTGTTGAGGTGGAGGACAGTGGAACCCCTAAGCAACAGGCCCGACATAAAGTGACCATCAAAGTATTGGACAAAAACGACAATCCATCAACAGCGCGCTCTGTGCGTGTGGCTGTCAGTATATTTAACGGAGACCTGCCCCCAAATACGAAACTAGCTGATGTGCATCCCAACGATGTTGATATTGTGGGCGACTATCGCTGCCGTCTGAAAGGCAATGGGCAGCTGACTATCAAAAGCGGCTGCGACTTGTACACCACCCCATTGACTACCCCGATGTCATACTCATACGATGTCACTGGCAATGACGGCAAGCACGAAGATGTCACTTCGAAGGTGACCGTGGATTTTCAAACTTTTAATAATGCCACGTTGGCCAACACCCTACCACTCTTGATACGGAATATGTCAGCCACCCAGTTCCTCACAAATCACTACCTGCAAGTCCTTGAGTTGCTAAAATCACGTTTCTCGGCTAATGACGAGATTCTCATTTATAGCGTCATTGAGGTGGAGGCAAACAATGCAAGCAATACAGACCTAGAAGCTCTCATGGTCGTGCGCTCATTCAATTCTACATACCAACAGCCATCACATATTATCGAACGCGTGCGTGAGAAACGCTCTGCGCTGTCCGACTTGCTGCACACAGAAATTATCATTGGCTACGAGCCGTGCAGCACCCCCAATGTGTGCGCTAACGGAGGTGTGTGCACTGCTTCTATTCGACTGTTAGACGCAAGCCACTTCAGGAGCATCGATAGCCCTGCGCTCGTACTTAGTGGACCACGAATCATTCACGACTACACTTGCCAGTGCGCCAAAGGCTATGCAGGTGAGCAGTGCGCCAGGCGCCAGGATCCCTGTCTACCCAATCCGTGCCAGGGGCAGGCCCAGTGTCGCCGCATGGGTAATGACTATCAGTGCGAGTGCCCGGCTAATCGAGATGGTAAGCAGTGCCAAAAAGAGCGCAGTGATGTCTGCTGGGGTAAGCCCTGTCGTAATGGCGGCAGCTGCCAGCGCAGCCCAGATGGCGCCTCATACTTCTGTCTATGTCGACCCGGCTACCGGGGTAGCCAGTGTGAGAATATCGCCGATTCGTGTCGGCCAAATCCCTGCTTACATGGTGGCTTGTGCGTCAGTCTAAAGCCCAGCTACAAATGCAGTTGTCCATCTGGCCGCTTTGGACGTCATTGCGAGCGTTTCAGCTACGGATTTGAGCCGCTTTCCTTCATGAGTTTTCCCTCATTGGACCCAACTACCAACGACATTTCTATTGTATTTGCCACAACGAAACCAACAGCACTCTTGGTGTATAACTACGGCTTGCAAAACGGCGGACGTTCTGACTTTTTAGCCATTGAGTTGGTCAAGGGTCAGGCAGTTTTCTCATCTGGCGGCTCACGCACTGCCATTAGTACTGTTACAGCCGGCTTCAATCTCGCCAATGGAAACTGGCATAAAGTCACCGCCACTCGCAATGGACGCGTCATGTCGTTGAGCATCGCAAAGTGTACGGAATCCGGCGAAGTATGCGCTGAGTGCATTCCAGGCGATTCCAGCTGTTATGCGGACGACGTTGTGCCCGTGGGGTAAGCAAATTATAGACTAAGCCCGTAATTAACTTTTTTGCTAATTTTCGCATTGCTATTATTACAGAACTCTTAACTTCAATAAGCAGCCATTGTTGATTGGAGGCTTGCAGTCAGCAGATCCTGTGCTCGAGCGCCCTGGGCAGATACACAGCGACGATCTTGTCGGCTGCGTTCACAGCGTCTCTATAAATGGACGCGCATTAAATTTGAGCTCACCAATACAGCAGAATGGAGTTCTACCAGGCTGCAATAGAAATGCCTGTCAGCCAGCTATAGCGGCAGAGCGCTGTAGCAGCTATGCGGGTCAGTGCATTGATCGCTGGTCAACGTCGCTTTGCCAATGCGGCGGTCAACTGCTCTCCCCTGACTGCGGAAACTCTCTGGAGCCAGTCAGAATAAGCAGTGGAGGATTTATTGAATTCAAAATTTCTGAGCAATATCGACGCATGCAGCTCCTGGATAACCTTTATAATGGAAACAATGCATGGTCCACGCTAGGAACGCGCGCCAAGCGCCTTTCAACACACAATGCAAGTGCGCTGACCACGTCTTTCTATGAGCCTCCGAAGCTACTCAGTTTTCTCTTCCGCACATACAAGAGTCATGGACTGATCCTATATGCAGCCACCAACCAGATGTACACGTCATTGTCCCTCCTGGATGGCAGGCTCGTTTACTACTCCAAGCAGCATCTCTCAATCAACATGACTGTGCCGGAGCCAGCAGCATTAAATGATGGCAAATGGCATAACGTTAGTCTACACAGCCAAAGTCGAACTCTCTACTTGCTCATTGACGGCCACCAAGTGGGTGATGAGCTGGACCTTGCGGGCGTGCATGACTTCCTTGACCCATATCTTTCCACTCTCAGCTTAGGTGGCGCCTCGAGTGGTTTAATGAAGGACGAGCCATTTAGTGGCTGCATTGCTAACTTTACCATCAATAACGAGTTGCAGCCGCTGAACGGCTCTGGCAGCATTTTCCGCAAAGTGGTTCATCATGGAAATGTTGAGATGGGCTGCAGTGGATCAGATATTGGTACGGATGCAGCCCAAGTGGCTGATCCACTCAGCATTGGCATCACACTGGTTATTGTGTTCTTCGTTATACTGGTTGTGGCTATTTTCGGATCATACATTATCTATCGGTTTCGAGGCAAACAGGAGAAAATTGGTAGTCTTAGCTGTGGTGTACCAGGATTCAAAATTAAACACCCACCCGCACCAGTCTCGCAAAGCCAAACCGCTGATCATGTGCTGCCGCGTAGTATTCATGCTGGTGCAACAGATTCGCCTGCACCACTTGTGGCTAACAGCGATCACATGAGGCCACCTGGCCATCATTTAACTGGTCCCGAGCTGATTACGAAAAAATTCAAGGAACGAAGCGAACTACCGCCAACTGCAGACCATCCACAGCCACAGCAGCGTCCTCAACGTCCAGATATAATTGAACGTGAGGTAGTGGGAAAGAGCCCACCAATCAGAGAGGAACATCACTTGTCTATACCGCCACCGAACCCACTGCACCCACTCGATCACGGCAGCTCCGTAGATCTGGGCTCAGAATATCCAGAGCACTACGATTTGGAGAACGCTAGCTCAATTGCGCCATCCGACATTGACATCGTATACCATTACAAGGGTTATCGCGAGGCGGGTGGCATGCGCAAGTATAAGGCCACCACGCCCCCTGTGGCATCTTATACACACCACAAGCATCAGAGCGCAGCAGCCCAGCAGCAGCATCGCCATTCGCCACGACATGCTGTTAACGCCCCATTCGTGCCGCGCGTGCCCAATCAAAGCAATCAACCACCGTCAGCCACATCCACGTCTCGCACCCACCAAACAACTCCACTAGCACGACTGTCGCCCAGCTCTGAGTTAAGCTCACAACAGCCGCGAATTCTAACTCTGCACGACATTTCGGGTAAACCGTTGCAGAGCGCCCTTCTAGCTACCACTTCTAGCTCTGGAGGCGTTGGCAAGGATGCGCTGCACAGCAACAGCGAGCGCAGCTTGAATAGTCCAGTGATGTCCCAACTGTCCGGCCAGAGTTCCAGTGCCAGTCGCCAGAAGTCTGTTGCACCACCTCAAGCACCACCGCAGAACTCAATGGGTCTCACTGCCGAGGAAATTGAGAGGCTCAACGCTCGACCGCGGACTTGCAGCTTAGTTTCCACTTTGGATTTGTCCTCGAGCAGTGAGGCACCCACGCCTCGAGTTCCTGGGGGTGCACTCCATCTATCGCTGGGCGGCGATGTGGACGCGCACAGTTCCACATCTACCGACGAGAGTGGGAACGACAGCTTCACCTGCTCTGAGATTGAGTACGATAATAATAGCCTAAGCGGCGATGGCAAGTACTCGACAAGCAAGAGTATCCTCGATAGTCGCAGTCCTGTGGCTCGAGCAATCAGTGGCGAGCCCAGCAGGAGCCAAAATGTAGCAAAGACCCCGCCCATCCCGCCACATGCCTACGATGGATTTGAATCATCCTTCAGAGGTTCGCTCAGTACGCTTGTAGCCAGCGACGATGATCTAGCAAACCATTTAAGTGGAATCTATCGCAAAGCAAATGGAGCCGCCTCACCATCAGCAACCACCTTGGGTTGGGAATACTTGCTCAACTGGGGACCAAGCTATGAAAATCTAATGGGCGTCTTCAAGGATATCGCCGAGCTTCCTGATACGACCAATCCACAGCAACAACAACCCTCCCAGCCAGTCTCAACTTTACGTATACCCAATGTACAAAAAGCACCCGAGGAGTACGTGTGAAATACTCACTTAGGAGTATCTGTATTAAGTGCAAAAGTTAATGCGCCTTTTAGAGTTAAGCGTCGCCATTTCATTCTGTAATGTACAACGAAACTGTACAGTTATAGTTATAGTAAAGTTTCAAATAACTACTGCATTGATACATATTTATAGAAATGTACTTTACAAAATATTTAACACCTTGTATCAAGGTTTCTGATCCTAAGCGCATTTTCATATAGGTCTTCATCGAAATTGTACTGACTGATATGCCTTTGCCAACAGTAAAGCCAAGTCCAACTCAATCTTGTTGGGCAGTTTAGTTTTATTAATTAAGCAATACTTCTTGAGATATACTTTTAGTGTTTAATAATCCAATTACTTGTGTAAATGTATGTATGTGTGCTATATTAAAATAGTTCCCCCTACTCTATTTATTGCCATTTAAGAACATTGTAAACCAATTTTATTTCCACTGCTGTTAGCACATTTACTTGTTTCGCACTAATAAAATATACTGAAAATACTTGCTGAAATATAGTTGATACATTTGTATACTACAATAAATACATAAGAAAGTTGCATTTGTAAAAACAACACAAAACAATTGAAAGAGTCCTATTCTTAGCGTGAGGTGCAACCGGAATAATTGTTGCTTTCGCCATTTCGGAGAGGGACCTGTGACCTGCGCAGTGAGTAACGAAAATTATACTGGGGTTATTTCACCATTTTCGGCACTTCGTGCAGTTAGCTAGTTGACTACAAAAAAGCATATCCATCGGCTTCGAGCTGCAGTCGTTGCCAGTAACTGAAAAAGACCAAAACTCTAATGGTGGACGCTCCGAAGCCAATGCGACATTGGACTTAATGTAAATGCGATTCATAGAAAGCTTTGCACCGGATGCAAGCGTGCGTGACAGTTATAAATTAAAAACTAAGTGAAGAAAAGTATTCTATGCAAGCTTGAACAAGTTGTTAGATAATTGAAGCAGGCAACAACAAATATACAAGAAACGAGGAACCGTGGCTCGTCATGTTTTTTGAGCGTATTTTGGAGCGAAAAGACATTTCGTATAACACAACTCATCCAGGTAATGGGAATAGCGACGCCAACCAGACTGACACTTATCACTTAAGTGAAACGAACAATGTCATTGGCGAGGACAAGGACAACAATAACAACAACAGCAGCAATAGCAGCAACATTACCGACAACAACAGCAATCAGTCAAATAACAGTACAGATCCAAACAAAATGCAACGACGCTATGAGCAAACTGTGGGAGCTGCTGTGCAGCTAACCTCATTGTGGGAGCATGTTTTACGTACGCGTCGATTGCCGGAAGCAATTTGCCCAGCCGCAATGTTTACCGAATTCCATGAAAGGTTGCAGGATCCCGAGTGGCAGGTGCGCCAACATGCATTACGCGTCCTTGTCGACGTGTTGATGGTGATGCGATCTAAAGCTGACAAGCATAATATGCATTTTTTAATTGATTTGATCAAAAACCTCGGACATCAGGCACCGACTGTGCGAAAGGGTGCACTTGACTGCCTGCGAGTCTACCTCTCAGAGACTGGCGCTCCGGAGATGGTCATGCTCCAGATATTGGACACTGGGTTAAGCCAGCATTCCATCTACGATGAACGCCTCGGCTGCGGAGTACTGCTCTCCCTGCCGCCTTTATTGCAATCGATTTTGCTCACGCCACAACGTCATTTTATAGTAAAGCACGTTATGGAGCGCCTAGTAGACCGCTTGCAACGTCAACAGACACAACAGGAGATTATTTTAAAGGTGCTGACCAAAATAAGAGAGCTGTTGGGTGTGCAAGAGTTTGAGCATTACTTAGACGAAGTGCAAAGTGGAGATGGCCTGTCACTCTTTAATCAACTGTGCAACATGTATGGAATATTTAATAAGTCCCATCGAGCTGAAGGTGCAAATGCAGGCGCTTGGAGAGCTCTACCCCGGGAGCACACATGGCGAGCGCCGAGTACTTCGCAGGATCCGCAAGAAGTCTCACATCCAGAGAAAGGGAAAGTGATTATGGAAACGGAAATTAAAATCAACGATGACACACTTACCATGCGAATTCTAGAGGCAGAAACTGAGACGGAAGACGCAGATAGTCCCATTTTAGAATCAGCAGAACTTGTGTGTCGTCCACTCCCCGCACAGCCGCCACGAGAAATGGATGCAGGGATACTTCAGATAATTAGCGATTCAGAACTGGAGGAAGTGAACGAAACTAATATTGATGCACCCTTTCGGGGCTTGAAACGAGTGACATTTGGTGGAGAGATTGTTAAAATGCGTACACCCGATAGTGATGCAGCTTCCTCTACGCACAATATCGAAAACCCTGTTCGAGACGCGGACGGACAGCAGACAAATACACCACAGTCTTCTTCTTCTGTGTTAGAGGACCAACATCAATCAGAAAAAGACAAGAATGAAGCCTTCAAAATGACAGCCTTGACATTGGAAATCCCCAGTGATAATACCAAGCCCCTGCCCCGAGCCAGAAGTGCACAATCGCCACAGCGAAACAACAGCTTTTTAAAAGACCAAGAACAGGCTGCGCAAAGCACAAATGCAACGACGACACATGCCTCCCCAAGTCGAGACGTCTCTCCTGCTTATCGTAGTCGTAGCATCAGTCCGGCCGGTAGTATTACAACCAGTCCCAAAGTACCCCACAAAGAGATCGAAGTACTACACAATCTTCAGCGGGATACCGATCCCTCGCCTCGGTCCATGCGACGAAGCGAAAGCATCACCACTGACTTAATTACTCCACCTGCAACCGCGAGCGTGCTGCAAGCAGACCGACCAGCTACACCAACTACCTGGGAAGATCTGGACATTGTCAACTATAAAACTATCATGGACTTGCGTTCAGGAGTAAGTAAATACGTACAACTTGAGTGATCTGTATGAATATTTCGGAATATATTCGAGTATATCTTTCAAATCTACTGCAGTCCATTGTGTGTTGCCCCATAACAATTAAAAAAATAATTATATTAAACGCACGCTATTCTTATGGCCGGCGGTCGTTTCGTACGCTAACTGGGTTACTAGGATATATACAGTTTCATATGCGCTCGCAATTTGCGCCTTCATAATGGCAGCCACCAAAATTTTGTACACACACGACACGCATTACCTCAACTACAACATCTATATTGCTATTAAAATACCGGCGAGCCGGTACCAAAACTCAACGGCCACACACACATATTAATGGCAGAACAATTCTGTTTATCGATAGACGGGGGTGTGCACCCCCTGTACCAATGACCTATTAATTTTTTGACGTGAACAATTCAAAAGGCCCTACATTTTTACGTCGAATTTATGAGTGCGTTTCCCGTCAAACTTTTTTAAGTGACTTTTGGTAATTCGAATCCGACAGCCGTGTGTATACCCTATGCTCGTTGATTTTGGACAGAGGACAGAGCTTCCTCGAATATATGCTCTACACACATTTCAGAGTATCTTCAAATCACTCACCCCAGACTTATTTTATTAGTGAAAAATCACTTTAAGATGAGAAGTTCTAACTATTTTAGATCAATGTAATCCAACATCATTGAGAGTATCAAGAGCTTACCTCACATATGCAAAAGTCACAAGCTGAGGACGTGATGCATGCACTTACAACGTCTTAGTCATGGTGCATACTATGCTTTTGCAGTATTGGTAGCTGCTGCAGAGTACCACGGAGTCCTGCCGGCCAATCATTTAAATGCACGCGATATTTTTAGTAGCGAGAAAAACAGCAACAATAACTCAGTAGCAGCATGCATAGAGGACGATAAAATGGCAAGAAGCACTGCTGATGGAGACGCAGTCCACGCTGGAATGGGACTGAGTGGGGGCCGAAGGAGCGTGCCGAAAACTGGGTCAGCACTGGCACAAAAATAATAAAACATTAACAAAAATTATAGCGCGTACAGAATACAAAAGGGCGCGAATAAAAACAGCTACAGAGCATAGGGCAGCCAGGAAATTATTTAAAGCGACGTTATCGTTGCCAACTCAGCTTGCTCCAATTGTATTTAGTAGAAACAATAGCCCCTCCACTGCTGCAATTATTGAAATGACTCAGAAATTCGAACCCAGTCTACTTGACCATAAAATATACTTGCAGCTACATTAAACCATTTCTTTAATCTTCTTTTGCCACGCAGGATTGGCGCAACCGTTTGCAGGGTATAGCACAGCTAGAAATAGCTCTCAGCACATCCAGCAACTTAGTGAAGGTGCAGCCCCATCTAGATAGCCTGCTGCGCACCTTACTATCCTCGGAGCGCAACTTCGAGGTAGCTGAGCTGAAGCGCGAAGTTCTAGTTAATCTCATTTCACGCCTACCACTGGACAACTTGGAGGAACGGACGCCACAAATATTGTCCGGTCTCTGTCGCCAGGGCAACGCAGGAGCAAATCGCGTGTGCAAAGCACTAATGCAGCGCTTGCCAGCAGGCACTATAGTCGCTAAATTGACAGCGCCCGAGTATCTTCATGCTAAGAGCTCAAAGGTAAATTTTTATTGTTAGTTAATAATATCCTAGAGCTTATTTTCTTAACCTAATCTATCACTAGTTTCGGGATCACGCCCTACAAATGTCCATCTACTCGCTGTTGTCCTTTCCCGGCACATGTTTCGACATAAACATCCTCGCAGCTCAAGTGACCTATGCTGCACTTAACCGCAAGCGTCGCGTACGGCAAGCCGCTTTAGAAGTATTTGCTGTACTTGCTGATATATCTTCGGTGGATGAGGTGATGCAAATTGTTACCGAGACAGTGGATAGCATAGAGTTAGGACCTGCGCTGCTGTCAGCTGTGAAAACGCGTTTGTCCCGCCTCCAGCTGCCCATAATTACAGCTGATGGATCCGTCCTATATACATTCCATAAGGCTGATCAAGCTGGGCGAATGCGCTTTGGAGCAGATGTGGACTGGATCACGCAAGGCGAAGGCTCAGCGTCTCCAAATGCCATTAAGAGACGTCGCCAGCAATTGGCCAATAAAAAGCGGTTGATGCAGGAAAGCAAACATGCAGAGGAATTGACGAATCAAAGGTTTATACTTATTATTTGAGTTCAATGTGAATTATTCAAATACATTTTGAATTTCATAGCACTCCAATAGACGAGAACTTACACCGACACTCATTCCACTCCCCGCCCGAAGCGCTAGAAATGTCTCGAGCCTCTAATGTGAGTTCAACTCGAATATTCATATAGCCCAGACCAAATAGAAGTGTTTGCACTACCAATTTTCTTTTTTTTCTTCCAGGACTTTTTCAAAAAAAAAATGTATAGTACTAATTGTAAGTATATTTGGGTCTTTAAGACAAACATAATATAAATGTGCCTAATAAATTGATTGGCATTTCAGCTAACTACATGGAGCGTCGCCTGGGAGCCAAGGCATACTCTGAATCATCAATGGATGGCAGAAGCACTGATAGTACGACAACGTCCTGCAGTAGTGGCAGTGGCAGTGGAAGTTTCATACAGTTGACTCCTTGTAATTTGGCCATTAATAGGCGCTTGGCTCGACAAAATTCAAGGTAATGCAGCAAAGTATTCCCAATTGTCATGCTAACTCATCTACACTTATCTTTGCATAGATTTCCAATTATGAAGCGACAAACGGATTTTATTACCAATTTCATGCGCAACATAGAACGAAAGCCATGTACATATAGTTTCGAGGACACCAAAGATGACTCAAATGCGAATCATAGCGTGAAAAAATGTCAGAAGCCGCAAGTTCAGAAGGAGCCAGCAAGACAAAAAATATACGTAGAACAGAATTGGCTAGAGAGAAGCAGTCAATCTCAAGGTTAATATAAATAATTAAAACTTATGCCCAAACAATAACATTTTTTTTTTCTAAACAAAAGCAATATCAAAATTAAAGGAGGTCAGTAATCAAGATTTGGATCACCAACTGGAAACAACGAACAGAGATGTTCTGAATGGTTCTAAATTCAAGTAAGTTTATTAAAACGTAAATTATTCAACTCAAAATATCCGGTAAAAAAAACTTAATCCACTGCACTCATCCAAGTTAAGTTGAGTTAACATTATCAAGTGTTAGGTATAATTTGTACATAGATTATATATTAATATTAGAGCACTGTCGCCATCCGTTTATCGAAAATCACAGCGAAAATAATGTAGTTGTTGACCCCAAAAGTTGGGCACGTCATACAACATCGCCACCATATCAAAGCGCAAACAAATTCGTTATTTAACCTAAATATTTAAATGCGCGCTGAAACATTCATCAGGGACAGGATGTCCAATATAACCACTAACGAACCTTCAAATGACCACTACAAATACCTGTTACCTACAGCCTGATTGTGTAATGCGTGTTATTCTATTTAGTCATCGTTTCTGGGTGCTTTTGAACCATCCTTTGCAAAATTAATCAATATTACATCTGCGCTTGCAACGCAAATTATTTAATTGGCCAAATATCTAATAAAATATAATATTGATATTACTATATGTTTTATACAAAACCCAGATTGAAGCCCCATTTCTTTTATTTATTTATTTATTTAAATATATTGCCTCCTATTATTTGATTCAGTTAACTATTTTATTTACTTCCATACTATTTTCAATTTACCAACAAATGTCAATCCAAGAATAGAGCTTTACCTATTTACATCATATACTAAATGATTTGGCTGCATGTAGGGTACCCAGTGTCGAACAGTCTGAAGCTACACTGTTTTCCATTTACGGTCTTCGTGCCAGACGCACGAAGAAATCCGAACATGACTAAGAAGGCGCTCGATTAAAAACAGAAAGTCCAACTGTAAATACCAACAGTGAAGGCACCGTGGCAGGCCAATGGCTAGCTTCTCGTAGTCGTCGTCGCAAGTTATATACATATATACACATATAATATACATACATAGGAATATGTATAGTTAGCTATATTCAGGGGTGCCCGCTGTATTGGAAGGGTCTGACTTTCTGTGACTGTGTGTGGGCTTTGGCTACTGTGGAAAACGCAATGTCCTGTTTTACATTTGCAACTTTAGTTGTGTTTGGTTGTATTTCCCTGAAATGGAAATAAAAAGCGCTGTGGATTGGGCGTTTCTGCCCTTTTAGTGGGAGAATTCAAGAGGTGGTCAGCCCGACGTCCTACGAGCCATTGCAAACAGTTTGTGAAGTGGCGTTGTTGCTTAAAGTGGTTAAGCAGTCCAGGCCAGATACTAGTGCTACAATTAATACATTTTAATCAGGCTCCTCGTCGGAATGTACTTCTTCTATAACTAGGCTTTTTATTCTAGACTAACGAAAAGAATTTAGCATAGCTAGCAAAATGCCAAATGTTTTTAGCTGTGGCGGTCAACCCGCAAATCTTTTGGTCGTGCTTCGCGACGCATTTCACACAGTTAAGGAATATGTATTGGAAAGGGCAATGATATCTTATGATCGGTGTCTCTGTCAGTGTTGTGTTTGCCACACCAAACGAAGAAAATCGATGCAAATTGATAAAACGGCTACAAATGTGGCCGATAAAGTGACGTGGCAAGTGCTCGACCCCCCTCAAGTAGTTGACAAAAATTTCGTGAATGAGGGTTTCCCCCAGGTAGAGCTGTAAGTTGTTTTTCGAGTGTGAATGTGAACTAAAAATGCTTTGATCAAACTAATTTTGTTATTTATTTTCCTTAGAGTAAAAGCCGAAACACCTAGTCAAGTTACAACAGCCATCGGGCCACAGGCAAGCAATCATAACGGAGAAGGCTCTCCCCTATCGATCAAATCAACAAGCTATTCTCAGAAGTCAACCGCCTCGGCTAAATCATACGATGTGGGCAAACAGACCAAGTCTCTCTCTGTTGAAATGGATGCAACAAATTTAGAAACACAATTCGGGGAGCTAGTAGTCGACGACATTGAGGAAGAAACAGAGTCACCTTGCCAGGAGCCCGCTTTGAAACGGAATGAAAGCGTTAGCAGCCTGCAAAGCAAAACGGAAAGCATTAAGACACAACTCGAGGATGCAACGCCACAAATGTCGCGTGCTCAATCCATGAAATCGCTGGCTATTGAAGAGGAGATTGAGAGCGCCAATAGCTTTGTCGTTGTTGAGGATCTGCAGAACGAGCTTGAATCAACAGCAGTAGAGGCGGCGTCCCTTCACGAATCACCAGAGCTGCCACCGAACAACGAAACACAGCTCCCATCGGGCTCTCGAAGCTCATCTAGCAAAAAGTCTGAAATCCTAGAAGACGATAGGGGCATACACTCACGCAGTATCTCACTCGACTCGCTCTATGGGCGGCGACCCAACTCAAAGCAAGATTCTCTGGACACTAGTACCAGCACCACTGATAATAGCTCTCAAATCGTCTCTCACTTTGAGCAGGCCAATCGGCTGCCTTCGAAGCCACAACACACACCACTGAAACAAAAGTCGAAAACGTCATATCTATTGCGTAGTCAGCGACGCGTCTCCCCCGTTAAACAGGCAATCAAGATGTCGCAGACGGAGCTTTTTCCGCCCACTATGTCACGATTTGAGAAACCACGGGAGGCTTTACTCAAGACATTTGATCAACTGGACTCGAATAACTGGGAGGTAAATATAACAGGCCTGAAAAGCATGGTGCGCCTGATCCGCTACCATGCGGATTTCCTGGACAGTCATATGCATATGACATGCATTCAGCTCACTCGTTCTGTTCGTAATCTGCGCTCACAAGTGGCTCGAGCAGCTTGCCAGGTCGCCACGGAACTATATACTTTAAAATTCAAATCATTGGAATTGGAATGTGATGACCTGGTCTGCGCCTTGCTGCACCGCACGGCGGACACAAACCGATTTCTGCGTGCAGATGCCACCCGCGCCCTAGAGTCGATGGTGGATCACGTCCAGCCTGCGAAAGTTCTCAACATACTGGCAATCAAAGGTGCTCAGCATCAGAATGCCGTAGTACGAACTACGACGGCGAAGCTGATGTTTAGACTGGTCGAACGTTTGGGCTGCGATCGCATCTACTCAATGGGCCGTGAAAATCGTGATAAGTTTTTCACTGTCGGTGCAAATCTTCTACTTGAGGGCAGTCTCGAGACCCGAAGCTATGCCAAGTCGCTGTTCCGAGCTCTGTCCGAGCACGGCAGCTACCAGCGCTTGTTATTGGAGGTCATACCACCGCGAGTATATCGGAATGTGGAGAAGACTCTAAGAAGCATTACACGCTAGTCACCTCATTTAGTCAGCTTTTTTTGTAAATAGCAATTATCTTATTTTGAATTTTTTTCGATGTTGATACTCTTGATTCATTGATGTACATGGTCATTGCTTTGAATTGCCGTTATACCACTGTTCGTTCGACTAAATATTCCTTTCGTGGAGGCGTAGTTTCAAGTGATATGATCCTATAAGAATCAACTCACTTTGTTCTATGGTAAAATTCTTTTTGTACAGTGTAATAGATCTACGCTTATTAAAGACTTATACAAATAAATATTACAATGAACTTAGCCTAATGAGCTTACAGCAACCTTCTACCATTATTATATCTCTGATCAGACCTACGGTTACCCCCACTATTGTTGCGCTGCTGGTGCTGCTGGTGTTGATGTCTGGGTCGGTTGCGGTCAATGACAGCACTGTCGCTGCGGCGTCGGGCATCACTATTATACTTCTTTTGGGGGCCAGCATACTGCATTCCATCCTGGATACTATGCCGGACATGCCGTTGTCCTGTATGATCATTCATGGGCGGGGCGGGCGATTGGAAATCCTGAGAAAATAGGTTGTGAGTTCCACCTTGCCCCATCGCTGATGGCTTTGGCTTCTCTGGGCATTGCGGCCGAATAATCAACTTCTTTTGAAATAGTTCCAAGCCCTGATATAGCTCCATTGCATAAGGCACAGCGATTTTATGCTGGTAAGTAACAAACCCGAAATTACGTTGCCGACCTGTGTTGTCCAGTGGTATTCGAGCGCTTTCTATGGGCCCCGCTTGCAGAAACACTTCATACAGTATTTCCTCCGTGACGCGCTCGTCAAGGTTGCTGCAAAACAGAGTGCGAACCTGCTCCTCGTCATCCTCATCGTCTTCGTCGACCTCCTCTTTGTCAAACAGCGGATAAGATGGCATTCCTTCTGGACACCCATAGCCGTAACCACCGCCAACGAAATTCATTGGCATACTTTGAGGGAATGGAAGCTGCATACCCATTGCATTGCAAATTTGTTGCTGCAGAGCCGCCTGTTGAATGGCAGCCACTAGTTGGTGATCCATTAAAAGCAGATTCCAAAAAATACAAATTGCTTATATTTGGTACAAAAAAATTAAGCCTTAGTTTTTCGATTGCGCTCGATATATCGATAGCAGTGCAAGCAGCACTATATACATACTAAGTGTGACCGTATACCTCTAGTACAAAGGCTGCCGTACTTTTGAAAAACTAAATGGCCGGTAAAAGATACAAATACATTTGATAATCAAATTGATATTCTCCCAAGTATGTATGCCAATTATGAGCAAAAGTTGTCATGCCGTGATTTGCTGTTATATGATGTGCCTACTTGTCTGCCGCTGCTTAGAATAGCACGGAAGGAGCCTGTTGACATTCGCTTGTTGATAGTACTAATTGTTGTCGTTGCCGCAACTGTCGTAGCTGATTGGGTTATTCAACTGATATGTCATATCATCATTATACGACTTAAATCAAAAGTAGTGCTTAATCAACAATCGCATGTAGTAGCGAACATAGAAGAGCTCACGACGCGACAGTGCCTGACTGAATGTTACCTTATAATAATAAAAAGCCACGCTAAGATATTTCTTATAGATTCTGTATTTTTTATTTATTTATTAATTATCCTTTTGCAAGTTTATGTCGCCTCATAATACAATATAACTCGTATTTGAAAATCGAAATTTTAACTCTGTTTTATGAAATTCTCATGATGTAGCCGAATTGAAATTGACTTTATTAGCTAGAAGATAGGCTAGCAAAGATAGATTCGGCTGCTAACTGATGATAGTAAACATCGGTTTATGAAACTATTGACAAAACAATTACACGTGTTTTTAGTACAGGGTTACAGGGTATAAAATGGCATATTTACAACTACAACCATTCGTTTACAATTCATTTTTATCTGCATCACTAGAACGAATCTTTTTTTAATTTTTTATTATCTACGTTTTCCTTTATCACTAGCAGTGCTATGAAAAGCGGGACGGTGGTGCTTTGCGATTTCATTCAGTCAGCGCAAGTCGGCATAGCCATACACAAATATAGCGTACTTTTAGAATGGGAGAAGTGCCACAAATAAAAGATTTTCACAAAGTGATTGAAGTCTTTTTGCAAGGCGACAAACTTGAATCCTATGAGAGCCGATACCTAACCAAACCCGGAGACAATTATGGAAGTCTTATGTTAGCTATAAGTGCAAAGCTTAGGCAATCGAATGATGTGCTCAAGGATATGCATTTAATAGCAAAATTACCGCCACTTACCAACGATTTATATTGGCAAATATTTCAACCGGAACGGACTTGCATAACGGAAAATGCTGTCTATAAGTATTTAGCACCCGAAATAGAGAAACTTCAACTTGAATCTGGTATTCTGCCTGTTAATCTGTTCGATGGCTTTCCACGCTACTTCGGCTCTCGCATTTCGCTCTGCCCGGAAGCCACTAAAGTTGATCGAGACGCAGTTCTAGTGCAGGAAAACCTAACTATTCGAGGCTATCAGCCTGGAAATAGACACAAACCGTATGACTTGCAGCATACTGTACTTATCCTTCATTACATGGCCCAGTTTCATGCGTTGCCCATTGCCCTGCGTCTCAAGAAACCAGCAGTTTTTGATTCCAAAATACGACCCTATTTCAAGAAATTCGATATGAATAAAAATATGGAAGCTGATACTAAAAAAATGTTAAAAAGCGAATCCTTAAGGGACATTGAGGATATTGCCGATGGAGACAAGACTATTATTAACGGTGTAAAGAAATTGCAGGATTTATTTGATGAATTTGAAACAGGTGACGATGTGAAAGATGGTCCTTGGACTTCTATAGGTAAACATTTGTACTTCGAATCTTTGAGGGTATATATGCATTTCATTTCATAAAAATGTATTTTGTTAGTTCATATGGACCTTTGGATAAATAACTTGATGGTCAAATATGGTAAGAACGAATAATGATTAACTATAAGCAGATATTCTGTATTAAACTATTACTTAGATGAGACTGGACTTCCCGTTAAGCTAAAAATTGTGGACTTTCAGATCGCTCAATATGAGTCAGTGATTCACGACTTGATCTTCTTACTCCTCTCAAGTGTGGGTGAGTTCTAAAAATATCAATAGTGTGCAATAATTATTCATCGAATAAAGAAACTATTCTTTATCATAGATACATCTGTATTAGAAGAAAACTATTATAATTTTCTACGCATGTATTATGAAGCGTTCATCCGAGCATTAAAAGAGGCAAATGTGAATACAAGTGAATACAACTATGAGGAGTGAGTATAATAAATATCATAAAAATATACATACAAGAAGTTTATGTCTTAATCTAACAAGAGAACTATGTTTAGTTTTCAAAAGTTTCCTAAGCTAACAGCAGCTACATATACATATATATTTTTGTATGTACATACATATTTCAGTTAATATTTGTTTTAACAGCGAAAAATTGCAAATCATTTCAAATCTAAAGTTGCATATTAATAAGTCTGATAAGAACGTTTCGCCTAAACAGAATCGATTGCGTAATACGCGTTTTTACTTTATCATTGGCGACGCCTACGCGGTCAAACTAAACAGTTTAAAAGAATATCTATGTGACGAAGCTCAACTCTATGTGCAAAACTTTATAATGCAAACATGTGGCGTTGTCATAAACTAGCTTTATTAACGCCAAAAACAAAATCATGTTTGTCAAAGAAATATAATATGATAATAATAGTTTATTGAAACGAAAGGGCACACAAGGAACAAAAACTAAGAAATACAATGTATTCCAACGCATATGTATAATAAAACTGATCTACTTACAGTTATCTTCAGGAAGTGCAACGTGTCGCACCTCTCCAGGTTCCACATGCTCTCTTTATGACAAAGGTAGTCTTAGCCGACAACAATACACTACCAAGCGACTACAAAGACGTTGACTTAACGATGATAACTAAAAAAGGAAGTAGTAAAATTATGAATAAACTCAGAGACATCATACGATTGGCAAGAAAGTTTAACATATTTGAATAATTTATCAACTACATTTGTAAACATAAATTTATTAAAAGTTAATTGTCTTAGTTTTCCGGCTTTTACATTATAATTTGGGAGAGCAAAATATATCAAAAGAGAGCTGAAAGTTATCAGTATTTAGCCACATCCACGCGTTATCGCAGTGATAAGCAGCAAATCAACATTAATTTCTCTGTATATAGAAGCTTTGGTCGATTTGAATTGTTCACTAAGTTAGCAGCACGCTGCACTGCAGTACGGTTTCTTTCCATTATGAGCAAGTTGCCAATAATTAAACAGTTAGGTCAGGTCATTGAGCCTGCACTTAATGGTGCCAGCCTCCATTCTTATGAAGTGGATAGTCTAACTCAACCGGGTGAGAATTATGGCAGCGTTTTAATATCTATACGTGCTCTACTACAGAGCGCTGATGGAACATTGCTTGATAAGCGGTTGGTGGCTAAAGTGCCGCCAACAGACCTCAAGTATTGGAAGTTTATACAGCCAGAACGCACGTGTCTGGCGGAAAATGCAATTTATGAGATATTGGCCCCGGCTTTGATCGCTTTGCAAGAGGAAGCGGGCATTCCCAAGGAAATGCAATTTGATGGCTTCGCCAAGTATTTTGGCTCACGCATATCCCTAAGCCCAAAGGCCAAAACTGTTGACAGAGACGCCATTTTAGTTTTGGAAGATCTGCGGGACGCCAACTATGTGCCGGGTCAGAGGCTACGGCCCTTCGACCTGCTCCACACTCAAGTTGTCTTAAAGTACATGGCACAGTTCCATGCACTTACAATTGCACTACGATTAAAGAAACCAAAGGTCTTTGAAACAAAAGTGCGTCCATTCTTTGACAAGTTCGATTGGCATGCAGCAGCACCCGAGGCGAAGGCCACAATGATAGCGGAAACTTTAGCAGATATCAAAGAAGCCACAAACAATGATGCGACCACGATGAGGGCGATAAAGAAATTGTCGACTGAATTTTTTGAATTTCTTGCAACGCCGCCAATCGAAAATAACCCGTTTAACACTGTCATTCACTGCGATCTGTGGACAATGAACTTAATGTTCAAGTATGGTAAGTGACAAGTCATATATATCTGAACTTATATAAAAGATCATCTTTTTTTCATTTGTCATTTACAGACCTTTCCGGACAGCCCACGCAATTGAAGATAATCGACTTTCAAACAGCACAGTACGACTCTGTTGTGCATGACCTAATAGCATTTCTGTTTACAAGCGTATCAACGCGTATTCTGGAGGATAATTACCACAATTTACTGAAACTTTACTTCAATGCATTCATTGATACTCTGACTAAAGTCGGTGTTAATACCAATGCATACAGCTACGAGACGTAAGAAAAATTCCCTATGAACTAAGTGTTCAAAAACTAAAACTACAAACTTTACTCATATGATGCATTGTGTGTATCTTAAGCGTAATTTTTTTAAAAACCCAAGTTTTATTTTTTGAGCGCACCACAAATGTGCATAAAAACATTACTTAATATTAATTTTTGTTTCTAGGTTTGCTGCTGAGTTGAAACGTATCGCATACATTCAAGTGCCTCATGCTATATTCATGACCCGATTTATTTTGGCGGATCAAGCCAATCCCACTGCGAATGATCTCGAACTGTCTGACGTGCTTAAGGGTACAAGTTCAAATCGAGTGCACAGCAAGTTAATTGAAATTGTACGACTAGCACACAAATTCCAAATTTTGTTAGAATAATTATTTTGTTTACAACGGAAATAATAATCGTCACTGATCATTGCTAATGATGATTGACAATGTTTATGGACTTATTGAATTTATGTCTAAATAAATGCAGACTCTATTTATTGAGTTTTCTGTTAGCAGACGAGAAGACTATGAATGTTATATCCGACTTTTTGGTGTTTGTAACAGTGTGGGTAATTATAGTATTGCATTCGGAAGTCGATTGCAAAGAGGTATATATACATACATCCAATTCCACCTTCTATTGTTATGTTTTATGGCTTCCGTACTTCAGAAATGTTACTACATCAATTTGCTTTCCTCAAACTGGACAGATGATCGCCCGCGATTTGTTGTTAATATGACGTTTTCAAGCCAAAATGGCATCGCTTCTATAACTACCATAAATGATCCTGTTGTATCCCCTGTGGCGAGACTATTAATAGTACAACAAAGTCCCAACGAAAGGAAGCGCATCGTTTACAATATGACGACCAAATTATGCGCCATAAAGGGTATGATTGATGCCGTTCCACTCTTCAAGCCTGTCAAGGATAACATGCTGAAGCAGAGCAACTATACATTCAGCTGTCCCCTGAACAAAGGAGTCTATGTAATGAACAACATGCGCATCAATCCGAAAAATCCTCTTCTCAGCTTGCTATATCAGGCCAAAGGCACATTCACGGTTATGGGTGCTTTGCTTGAGGAATTGCCCAATACTCAAATGCATCCATTGTCCACGTATAACATTGAAGGAAAAATCTTGAGAAAAACTTGTGGTCGACTTGAGTAAGCAAAGGAACAAACTTTAACAATTGAATGAATAAAATAAAAACAAAGCAACATAAAAATAAAAACATATTTTGATATGTATATTTAATCTGGAACTAATTAATTGAAATGCAGATTTATTTTCATCTAAGTTTGCATTTAGTGCAGAAACAAACCTCAACTCACCTACATAAGCGGACAAAATATGTAGCATACCTAAGGGCTGTAGCTTAAAATAAAATCGGTATATGAAATGTTAAAAAAAGGAAAATATTGCATAATTAAATAATTAAAATCTTAAGAAAATATTTTTATTTGAACCCTTAACATATCTTAATTTTGAATATTCCATAAATTCATGAGTAATTCCCTATAAAACTTACAATATCGGGCAGACATTGTAGTAAACTAATTTACTCATTTATTGTATGGGAGGGTACAAAATTTAGCAGGGGAATAAATATCATTATCAGTAAATTTGAACTTTTGTCTACATGGGTTGTACAGCTGCGGCCGTACTTCTAAGTCTTCCTATTTTCTATTCATGTTTGGCTGCATAATGAGATACACACGCACATAGCTAAATGAGAATTATATGTATATATATGTACATACAAGATATGGAAATCGATAAATCGCCGTTCACAGTGTCAATGTCCAAGCACAACTTTCCAACCCTGAGACACAGCACTTAAATGATTGACATAGCAGTGAATGAACTTTCCTTAATTGAACTTGGATATTCATATATATTCTCATACGTATACATATTGTCCGCACAAAAGAACATTTCGAATGTTGTACTGAACCATGTACGTAGATATTCGGATTATCATATTTTCGAAAATACAAAGACGGAAAAGTCTGCAAGCTGAGTCAACTTTAAGAAGCAAAGATATATCATATTCATACATTTAGTATATACCATGCATATAACAAAGGGTATATTATCGCCGTTCCTTAACTTCGAAGCCCAACAAAAGGCTTATCAGGGACTCATAATCAGCTTGAAAGTACTAAAGAAAAATCAAGACTTTGACATTTAATCTGCTAGAAGAGTGGTCAACAACTAAGCATCTTGCTAAGCATATTGTTCATATATGCACATATATACTACATATATGTATGCATGTACTATGATTTCTTTATGTTATAGAACAATTCTAATTATGTTCCACTTATATATTTAATAATGAATATTTATAATTAAACATAATACAAATAATTAGTCCACATAAATTGTCAATTAAAAGTTGAATAGATACTGGAAGAGACAGCAGATTGTGAACTGCGACAAGCTCTGAGCTTTTTGTGGATTTTATTATTTTATGAGTTTTGGTTCAATGTGCTAATCAGCCAAAGAACAAAAAGATCACTTAGGAGACGCGTGCGAATATGACGTAAAGATTCGGGCTCGCGTGTACGGCGTGGACTACGGAATACGCCAACGCCAACGCCAGCATTCAAAGAAGAAGGCAGTATACTCTGTGATGCTGATACAGATACGAGACGGCATTGCCCTTTCTTCTATAATTGCGGAGTAAATAATTTCATTTGCTTATTACGTTTCAAAAGGTAGCTACTACATTTTAAGTCTAATGGGAACCTTTTGCTGTCACATATTAATTTTTTTTAAGCTTTAAAAGGCTACAACAAAATGAGTTTAAAATAAACATTAAGTAAAAACAAGGAAATGCCTTTAGTACCAATTTTTATTTTAATATTATTTTTCTGTTCCTCTTTGTTAGTATTAATATTACTATGGATTTTTCTTTTGTTAACATGTTCATAAAATGTATTGTCAGTTTCGTGTGACTTAAGTTGGACGCATGCATTCGATGAGGACCATTGCACTTCAATTAAGGCACACTTTATTTATAAATACAGAAAATTTATACACTAACTGAAAAATGATAATATATTTAAATATTATTCATTTCCATATTATAATTTCAATTGTTACTTTTTAAATTCAAACAGTACGAGGTATTTCTTAGCCGATATTGACGTTAATATAATATTGGCAACATTTGTGCCGTGTCTATATACTTATATTTAACCAATTATTCTAGTAAATTTAACAGCAGATAAAACAAAAAACAATATATATACACCACTATATTGATTTTCAATACAGGCGTAATATTTATAATTCAATATCTCGTCTTCGTGTTAGATTATATTTGAAGTGCCACTTGACAGTGAACACTATTAATAGCCATATTTTTGGTATAGTACCGCAGTCGTAATTATCAGCTGATTCGGCTGGCAATAAAACTAATTGGCACAATAAAAAATGGGCCACCCGCAAAGAGAAGAACATAAACATAAGTAGCCTTGGCTTCCAACTCGTCTATAACATTTTAATTTCACACTCTTGAATACCATTCGTCCAATTAGTGAATTCTGATAACGCTTTGTAGGATTGCGTAGAAAGCCAGCGGAGCTTTACTTTTCAACTGTGACTCACATTTTCCGATTTCCATTTGGTCAAGCACAAATTCGTATCATATCTATCACGCATTCT